CTAAATATAGGAAAATTTTGTTTACTAGAATGTAGAGTTTTCTAGAGCATTTGTCCCTTCAATAACCCTGATACTCACATTCTGGAACAGAAACATTATGAAGATTGTTTCCAATGAGTCGGGATTGAAATCCAGAGCTGAAAAAACCATCACCAGGTCCACTGAAAAAAAAAGTACTTGGGCTTTCAGTATACAGTATGATTAAATAAGGAGTCAATGTAACAGCAAAAGAAAAAAATGCTTTCCACTTCTTTTAGATGTCTGCAAGGATCTAATGTCCTGAACAATTAGAACTATCATTTAGTTTAGATATACAATCAGATCAAGCCATGGATTAGACTTGAGAGATCTTTACAACCTGTCATTTCCAGAGGTAAATTATGAATTATCACATCAGTTATCCAACCATAATCGGCAGTAATTTCAAAGCCTGGTTGGCTTCACTATTCACTAAAAATCATGTTTAGCCAGTTTTAAAATAAATGAAAACTCACTGAAAACAAGCTCAACAGTTCATGAGGTTTTCTTGGCAGCAATAAATAAGTAGTTCACTATTCCCTTTATCTTGGATGTGTGTATGTTGTTGTTGTTTTTACTTTTCAGACTACTCTGCATCCTTGAGGTTTCTAAGCCTGTTTAGCTTTGGCCTGGTGCTGCAATTAATCAATGTAAACACTACACTGAAGTCAATTAAATGTCTTTAAGAAACGCTTGGTATAGGGTCCAAATAAACACTGCAGCAATTACAGTACACAGGTCCTCAACTGTGTATTTCCTCTCTGACAGAATGAGATGAGATACCTTCTGTTTAACACTGCAAAATGCACTGCAAAAAGAGCTGTGTAGAGGACAAGAGGCAGTACAATGAGGCAAAGTGCACGAGCCAAGAAGTGCTTTCCCAGTGTGACCTGAAATTAAAATAATAATAATAATAAGACAGATGCATGAACTTTTAGGCAAGTTTTTTCTTTATCAAAACAAGTTGTGTCTATATATTTCCAGTGCTGAAGCAAATTTGTACACTTACAAACTTAAAACTAGACTGGAACAAAGCATACTCAATTTTTTTAAAAAGCTTCATCTGATGTATTATCTTCACATAGTAAATCATGCCAGGAGTACATCAATATGGCAACAGAAAAGTCATATGTCATTTCAAAAACAATTTCATTGAAAATAAATAAAAAAGCTTTTGAAACTGTACATATGAACTGTGGGTACCGGGGGGAAAAAATCACATGGCATGTATCTAAAAAATAAATACATTAATTAATCAAAAATTTGTTACTCATTCACACTTCAATTTTTCCTAAAAGATTTTCTGATGGGAGAATGAATTGGGGGCTCAATTTTCCATGTTTATTCAATATATCTTATTCCTGAGTACAGATTTGCACTGTTATTTCTAAATAAAGATATAAAAGATTGTACTTTGGGGCTTTTATCTTATGTACATGTAGAAGAATAGCTCTCACAGGTAAAATTATTTCTAGCATTGTTTGCTTACATATCTAACTAAAAACAATTCTGAACGAAACAGATAATTCCAATCAAGTTCAAGACAGGCTTCTGAAATTACTTATTTTCAACTTCTTCAAAACTCCAAATACTGTGACATACAGTATTCGCTTCTGTTTATCCATTCATCTCTGCCATATAGGGGAAAAGGTTGGAGTAAACTACTACATATGGTGGCTAAAACTTCATCCAATTATTCAATATTATAGTACATATTTTCAAATAACCATGCATGAAATGCTGTCCAAATCCACTATTTCCCACTCATCCTTCAAGTATCTTAACTTATATTGTTATTGCAAGAGTTTTTTTCTTGGGTTACCTAAGAAGAATGCAAATGGCAGAAAAGGATTACTGAGTAAATTGAATATCCTATAGGAGGGAGATAATTAATAATCTCGATGTAATACTTTTTCAGTTTAAGTGGTGAAGGGCTAAAAAACAGTTATTCGGACAATCCTGATCTAGAATTATACGCTGCTTTGCATAGTTTAAAATTCAAAGAACTATGTTGGCAATGGTGTGGCTTAAATTTCTGAACAACCATCTGCAAAAGGAGATCTAAGTAACATGGATTTGCTTTATTTCAATTACAATTGATTAATACTTTTTGGAGTAGTTTTTTTCAAAAGCTGAAACTCACATCCTTGCACTACATGTATTTTAATCAAGAAAATAAATCACACAGCAGAAATAAAAAAGATCACATTTTCATATATAAAAGAAATAGAAACAATTAATAAAATAACTTTAAACTAAAAATGTCATCCAGAGAATACAGGCTTTCAGTAAATTATACATACCAGAAAGCTACTTTTCTTGCTGTTAATGAGCTGCCAATTTAATAATGTCTATTGTCACTGTCAGCATACTTCATATCTAATTTCTCCGAAGCATTGCATAGAAATAATTTACTATCCAGAAATAATGTAAGTTCTTTCTACCATGGCAAGCTATTTATGTCCAAAAAATAAATTCTTAGTGATGAATGACTTGCAGTTTTCTTCATCTTTAAAAAAATAACTCAACATATAAAGGCCATTAAATCCATCAGGCATAGCTATAAACAAGTAATTTATTGGGCGGGGGGGCGGGGAGGAATCCAATTTGTAGGCTACATTTGTTGCTTTACTAATGTTCAAACAATTTTCAGGCTTCCTCCTCAGCTCCCCAACATACATCATAGCTTATTAAGGTAACCAATTTAAGGCATTTCAGCAGTAAAATTTGTCATATAAAATCACTTCTAGAACTTTACACATGTCCATAAATTTGGGTACTTGATAACAATGCTAGATATGTATGTGTACAGAATAAGAGAATAACAGAGGTGAAAGGGACCTTTGAGGTTTTCTAGTCCATCCTCCTGCTGAAGAAGTAAACTC